AGGCAGTATCATAAGATGTGACTGAGGCATCAAAGACACAGCAATTGGGAGTACAGATTATCTTGCCCCACATACCAGAAAATGACCAATTTCTTATGACCAATCTTTATTGTCTCTACCGCTATGGGTTAAACTGCTTAGCAGGCACCAAGATGAACTTTGCACTTGTTCCTTACTGAGCAGACCCCGGTGTTTCCTAAAAGACCACTTTGGATGACTTTTGCATTATCTAGAATGACCCAGCAAGCAGCATTCAAAAGGGAGAGGAGATTAAGCCTTCCTCTGGATTCCCCACCTCCTCACCCAACAACGTCGTCTTCTCCATAGTGCTGGTGATAAAGGGAATCTTGTTTCTCATAACATCATTTTAAATGAAAGACAAAAGTGAATAAAAGGGGTTGTGCTGCTGTGGAAACCACCATCCCACTCAATCTCATTTCACCCTCTGGAGAGAGTAGCAATATACACGTGTTCCCAAATATACATGCTCCATCCGTACATAACCAATAAATATATACCTCTTTCCATTTTTTTTATCTGAAAAACTTGTTTTTTAAAAAAGGAAATAAAATTCTGATTTGTAGAGGGTGGTTGGAAGTTTTCCAATTAAAAATGTGTGCTGTGGTTGCCAACGTCTGGTGCACATACAGCAAATCGTGGCATGCTTGCATAATTCTACAGGGTCTACGAATTTTTTCTAGGCGTCAATGCTCCTGTGCCCTTAAATGATTTCCCCTTCATATAATTAGTGAACACAAATCCAGGCAGTAGAACTTATTCCAGATTATTCCAATGGTGCAATCACATTTCAAACATCTGTTTCTACTTAGATGCAGATTATAAGTCTCTGGGTCAAATAAGAGAAGACATAATTTGATATTTTAAGAAAATTATCATTGACTGCAGAAGTAGATAACTTCAAGCACTTTCTCTCTCTGCTAGAGTTCCAACTATACTTTGTTTGGAGAAAGCAACTGTTGCAGAGACATAGCAATTCCTTGTGAACCCAGATAGATGGTTGCAAGTCACACAGAATGTTCCATAAGGTGAACATCTCAGTATGTTCAGGTCTTTGAGCCCATTAAGCCATGTTAACCAAATAGTATTCCTGTGCGTTTTTAAAGTGTCATACTTGGGTTAATTTAGCATTCAAACATCCTTAAAAATTGTAAATGGGCCAGAAAGAGATGAAATTACCCCATTATCTGTACAAATGTCATCATTCCCAGATGAAGAAGACTAAAATGAGGCAATTAAGGTGTCAGACTCAAGGGATGTATGATAAATTTTGGTACAGATTTTATACCAGGTTGACATTTTTATACTATAATTCAAAACCTCTTTAAAAAAAAAACTCCACAAGAACTATCCTATTATAATTCTGCATCACGAAGTAAATACTAAATGTGGTAGATGGTGTCTGATCAAATATGCCTAGCGATGAGGAGAAGCCTATCAGTAATAACCATTCAGAAAGTTTTCTTTCTGGATTTAAATAGATAAAACATGGATTCAGAAAGTCGGTTAGTCACTAATTATTAAGAATTGTGATGTTATAGTAAAGATAGCTAAACTTCTAATTTCTGAGTGTTGATGTCAAGTTTCCTTTATAGATGTTGTGTGTGTGTGTGCATATATTAAGTTTAAAAGAAATGTGGAAGCATACATTGAATACCCATGATGAGGCCATATATACAGTGAGCAAAATCAAGCAGTAACACTTTCCCTGAATTGCATCTCTTCAGACTATTATTCCCTGAAGACATACAATCCTTCTACATCAAAGTACAAAATTGGCTAAAAGATCATTAGTAAACAACACTGTCCTTTATCCTTTGCTTTTCTGACCTGCAGGAAGAGGAAGTACAAGTTCTGTGTGAAAGGTAGCTTACTCTTCAAACAGAATAACCTCAAAAAGACCTAATATAAGAAGCTGATGGGAACCAAGAGAAAAGAACTACATTACACAGGACTACAAAAGTATGTGGAGTTCTGCTAATGGAATTATGCAGAGGAATGCTAAATAAAATTAAGAAGCTACAAAGGCAAACAAAAATCACATAAAATAATGACTGCTGCAGAATTATAGATGAAAGATACTGTATAATGTGCATATGGAGAAAAACAGAAGGAATAAATGGGCTAACAGTTTAGATTAAAATTGGACTATTGAAACGTTTGCAGTAAGATTTTGGAATTAACTATATTGAACACACAGGTAATGGGAAAGACTTATTAGAAGACAAAAGAAAAAGAAACAATTTCATGATTTCAAAAACTGGACACTAGAGGGGATTAAAGTTTTTGGATAGAGGAAAGTTACAAGCCTGTAAAATGTTGCAACATGTTGTAACTGATAAAATATTGAAAGAGACTTTTGAAGAATGAATTTTTAAAAAATGGTAGTCACATTATGAACAATATCAGTAATGATGGCTGCTTCCATGGATATATTATGTCCAAAATATGTTGTTGAGGAAATGACAGGTGTAGAACAAAGTTAAATCTGACCCAATAGAGGTGGCATCTAAAGTAGATTTACAACTGACAGGTCAAGAGAATGATCTAGAAAAGGATGTTTCACAATGCTTCACGACAAAACACACTGGTTGAGATTTTAAAATGTAAAAGGAAAATACAAATGACAAACCAAGAGAGTGACTTGGAGCAAGTGGATTTTGTTTTCTTACTTGACTTAGAAAACAGGCTTGTTAAAACCTTAAACAACTCTGAGCAATCGGACAAAGAATAAATGAAATCAAATCCAACAATACTTGTATGAACTAAAAATTAGAATTGTTTGAAGTAAAATGAAGGAATATAAGATTCAAAAACAAGGTTAACACAAGATATGATATTACTTCTAGTAATCCTTTATACACTTAGTGTTGACATGAGGATTGAAACACTGGTGTTTTTTGGATTTGGTTATAGATAAGTGATGGTATATGGGATAAAGAGCTCAATGTTTATAGCCTCAGAGTGGATTAAGAGTTATTACATTTCTTTGTACTTGTGATGAAAGTTGGAAGATTCTTTATATATCTCTTTTCTCTTTATTATATTATATTATTTATTTATTTATTTATTGCACTTTTTACTTTTTTATTCATTTTTCTCTTTTAGTTTGTATTAGAAATTATTACAATCAAAATTCTTAATGAAATCACATATATATTAAAATATAAATAGCAGTGTTCGAAGAGAAAAAAATGATAAAAAGGTTATCATAAATACTCACTGTTGAGAAATTGTATATAGGTGGTATAAATCTTAAAACACAAGTATAGTTTGCCTACAGAATGGCTGGCTCATTTAATGGGAAGGCTGCATCTGAGTTTGATAAATGTTATTACTATTCTCCTTCAAGGAAAGATAGCAAGGCTGAGCAACACATTTATGGAAGGATTTGTTAAATGCATTTGGGGAAATGTTTTGCAGAATTCTAATGTAAAGGCTAGGAGACACAACAACAAGCAATCCAACTTTATGCCAGGCAAGTAGTGAGCAACCAATTTTTATCAGGTCACTAAGAAATGCATGGATATGAAACAGAAACACATAAAAAAGAAATACATTATACACTTATTTAGAGAAAGTATGTAATAAAGTGAATACATTTAAATCATGGGTGATTTGAAAGTATGGAGTTGAAAGTTGATTGGTGAACATGGTAAGAGGCGTGGTTAAAGAAAAGTACATGTGAGAATAAATAGGAGCTGGTGACTCATTCTTCTTTTACTGTATTTATGGATAACTGTACTGTATAAGGAATCCTTGAAGTGTATTGGTTGGCAGCATGTTTGAAAGTTTTGCAGCAAATGTTAGATGAGAAGGCTGACAGAGTTAACAGTATAGATTTTAAAATTGATGCATCAAAGGTCAAGGGAGCTGTGTTTAGAGCATGTTTGTTACTCATACATAAATACTAAAACTAGAAAAAAGTAAATCAGTTTATGTATCTCCCTACAATGTTTACTAAATAATAGAAAATAGAGAAATTTTAAGAGATAATGGCAAGTATTTGGTCTGTTGTGTGGAATGAATGAATGTCAAATGTAAAAATGGTTTTGTTTAATAGGATGCTTCTGCCTTCTTCGTTATTAAGGAAGTGAGACTTCAGAATGACAGAACAAGCATCCCAGTTAAAGACAGCAGAAGAGAGCAGCGTATGACACAGAAGAAAGAGTGATTTGGAAGGGTAAAAATGGATGAAGAAGTATAATAACTGGTGTGGTTTTAAAATACATTACATTTTTTGGGGGGGGGGTTCCCCCTTTTATTGTATGCCTTTCATTTCTTTAGGCTACTATTTGTAATGCTGCTTAGGAAATAGAGGCATGGGTATTTATATATGCCCAGTAAAAAAAAACCAGGCATGGTTTCTTTGTGGTAGAAGTGCAGGCAGATATGACCGATAGAGCATTCTCATATGTGACTTTAATTCTGCAGTTAAGTGTGACATAATTTTTTTTTTGGGGGGGGGGGGGGAGCAATTACTGCTTTAGATATTTATAAGGGCCTCATTGGAATTCTGCTGGACTTCTGGGAATGTTCATTATATGATCCCACATTTCTAATGTAGTGTATTTCACAGCAGCACGATTTAGTTTACTAAACAGCAAGTAAAAATATTATATAGATTTGTAATAAAATTATGTTTAAATATTTGCAGACAGATCCCATTTCCCTTCCCGCTTTGCTAAATCAAGCTCTAGAGAGGCGGATACCAATAAAACGTCAGAGCAAAGACACAGTTTAGGTGGCAAGCCATTAATGCAGCAAGGAAGGTAGCTTGGAGGCTTGGTTCAGATCCAGTTTGCCAGCAGAGCTGACAAGACAATACAGTATTTCAGTTCTGATGGAAAAGAAGTTGACCACAGATGGTAAGGATGTTTTGTTTTCTTGCTCTCTTCTCCATCTCTCTCTTCAAAATTTCCTTTCTCCTTTATTCACTTACACATCAAGTGCAGGACCTTTATGACCTGACTTCTCCTGAATCCTTTTCTTCAGCCTTTGCTGTTCTCCTATTTATGCTTTCCCTCAAGCCTTTGTAATTTCCTCCAATTTGAGCCTTGGCAGCAAACATGTCCTGGTGGCTGCTGCAGCGGGCTACTGATTTTCTTCTGCTGCTGGATCCCGGCAGGTGCACTCGTCCTGATCACAGCCATTGGGAAACAGAACAACCTGAAGGATTGGAAGAACAGTGGCATTTAGGGAATAGAACAATTCAGGGAAGAATAGCTTAGGGAAGCATCTCTTCTACCCTCCAGTCTTATGGATCGGTAGTACATCCTATTTATCAGCTATTTAATTCTCCAAATTTTCCAAGATGATGCCCAATATATTATAGAGACCAGGAACCTAAGAGCAAAATAGAAAGTTCTGGCAGAACCAAAACAGAATAAAACCAAATCACTTTCCATCTCCCAACACTGACTTAAGATTATTTCCATTTCTTCATTCAACAAGGGCAGGAACTAAATTCTGAGCTGCTTATAGGTCCTGCTCAATTCAAGAGCCTAATTTGAGATATTTGCTAAAAAGCATGATAGTTCTGTTATCCACTAAAGCAACTTTCTTTTCCAGACTTCCACACAAACCTAAGAAACAGTTGAGTTGGATTTAAGAATTGCATTATGACAAAAGACTTGCTTTAGTGATCAGCAGGTGCCATGTGCAAGGACGAGTTAATTCCCTCAATTCTCCTCTCTTTTAGAAAAACATTCAAAATATGGATTTTGAAACAGGCCAGAAGCCATGCCAATTTGAGATCCTGTTTGACTGATGATGAGTAGTTAAAATTTTCTTTTTTGCATAATTCCTCAGGCATTGGTATTTCTCTTTTTGCTGTATGTTTTGATTATGAATTTTATTCTGTGCACCACTTTGAGTCGTCTTATTTGGTGGCTTTTTTAATGTAATGAAGCGCCACAGACCTCCCATTCTGCCAGCACTGATTAAATCTGTAACACACTTCACGAAGCACTTCTTGTTGGACGAAACACACCAGTTTTTAGTTGTGCACAATGGTAAATATTCTTAGAAAAGATAATCTGTATATACCTAGCATTCCATTCATCATTCATCCACAGCATTATATAAAATGGGAGCTCATCCAAAGCAGTATTTGAAAGAGCTGCACTGAAAAGAGATCTAGTATCACAAGGAGTAATTAAGGGAAAGCCAGAGACACTTTTGTGAGCTGGTCTCTTTGTGAGCTTCAACAGTCGATTCTTTCTGTTCTATGACTTGAAAAAGACACCCTGTGAATTTTGCTTATACTTTCTACACCAGCAGTCAACTTCTTTGGAACCATCATTTGAGTAATCTTGAGAGTTTGAGAGGACTTCTTTGACAAACAACACAAATACCCCTTTTCTGTTACAATTGTGCCACATAAAATACATCATTTATAAAGAAAGAAACTTATTGTGGCTGTTTAAAAACTAAAAACAATCAAACTAACAAAAACATTCAGCTCCTTTTTGGTTAATTCAACTCCTGTGTAAATTCAGTTATTTTTAGGCAGCAGGCCAAGCAGTTCAGCATATAATTTATACACAGAAATCCGGGGCAGGACACTATCTATAAATTTAATTTATCACATGTACTTGTGGATAAGTCCATCCATGGATAAGCGAGCCAATCTGTTGAAGTGGTGAAGGTGCTGGCCTAGAAACCAGGAGATTGAGAGTTCTAGTTCTGCCTTAGGCATGAAAGTCAGCTGGGTGACTTGGGATCAGTCACAATCTCTCAGCCCAATTCATCTCACAGGGTTATTGTTGTGGGGAAAATAGGAGGAAGAGGTATTGCATATGTTCACCACTTTGAGTTAATTGTAAAATAATAAAATCAGGATACCAATTTAATCAATAAGTAAATAAATTATAGACTCTTGAATTTTTAACCAAAATACCATTAAAAAATGCACCACCCACGGATAAGCCGATCCACATTTTTCATGGTATTTTGGTTAAAAATTTAACATGCAGATGAGCTTGTCCATATGTATATATGGGAAATGCAGGTACTTAAATGTGTTGTGTATTTTGTAGATATCTTTTATCATTTAAAATTGTCGGTTAATCTGAAAATATATAAGGTATATTCCATTTTCTATAATGGATAACTAACATATCAGTTACCTTCTTTGAGGAGACTGTGGAGGAACAACAATCGCCACCATCATACTGACAATAGGCTCGGTTGTTGATAGTATCACACCAGCCATCGGCATGGAAAGGCTATAAAAAAAGAGGGGAAAAAAGCATTCAGTGAATGAAAAGCAACAGAGAAAATCAATTAAGTCTGGCATTCACATGTTAGAAATAATTAATATGTTGAAACATATTTTTTTGTCAAACAAGCCAAGAGAAACAGACCATCCAAAACAGCTATATATCTATATCTATCTATATCTAGCTAGCTGGCTAGCTATATCTATATTTATATCTATATCAGTGGAAGAAGAAAAGAGGGGGGGAGACTGATAAAGAAATCCTTTCTTGAGGTAACTTGAATACATTCAATCTTATATTGAATTTGTATAACCCACACATGATACAATGGAGAGAGGAATCCCAGA